TACGTACGTACGTACGTACGTACGTTCGTTGTTGTTGTTGTGTGTGTGTGTGTGAGAGAGAGAGAGAGAGAGAGAGAGAGAGAGAGAGAGAAGAGAGAGATTCCACACACACACGGATTTTCCCATTATTGGCTGCTTGAAGAATTGAGAAAGGATGAGGGATAATGGATATATTTCAACTCCTCACTTTGGCTATCACCAATTATTAATCTCCTCTGTGGTAATAATGGGTTCTTCCTTTTGGGATGATCTTTTTAATTTAGTGATCTTATCAATCCCTGATCTTCTCACCTTCTCTAAATACGATTTCCTTTAGAATACCATTAAACTGACTAAAACACCTAAAAGTCTATTGAGGTGGTCAAAGCTTCGTCTTCTTTTTCTTACCGCTCTCTGCTCAACACTTTTTGTTTTTTTAATATCGCTAGTGTAGCTTGGTTATTATGTTTTTTAGGTTGATCTTTTTATATTTTTTGGGTTCATGATGAACAGGTGCATGCAGTCAGGCCCATCAGTTCAACCTCAATATACGCCTTTTTAGGTTTATATTTTTATATTGTTTAGGTGCATGCGATCAAGAAATTCGGTTCAACCTGAGTTATATAGAGCAACCCATATATAAAAAGGACCCGGTTTCTATGCTGGCTTTGTTGAAATGCAGGGCTAGTAATAAATCTATTTTGGAGGTGGATTTTTGGATTAAGGACATGTAATCTCTAGCATGGAGATCATGAATATAAAAATTAAAAATAATAATTTTAGTAAGAAAACATTTGGACCATTACATTGTTTTTTTATGGAACACTTACTTGCATCCATCTTTAAGATGGATGTTTTACATTTTTTGGACCGCATATGTAATCATACAGGCTGGCCTGCATGAAACAATTTTCCATATAAAAAAGAGACCATTTTCTTTTGATTCAATCTGATTAATTTTAAATCGTGTATTGTAGAGTGTTATTGACTAGATGCAAAATTAAAAAAAAAATTAAAAAATCGAACTTATGCCTAAAATCATCTGATTTGATACATATCCTAGGACCGCAGCATAATGTAAGTTTATGAAAATAATCCTGGACAGGTGTCGTTGCGGAATGGCATTAATTTCGAAAGTAGTACAAACACTGTATTGGAAAAGTTTATATGGAGCTAAGGTTCCAAACAATTAGGTTTGAGCCTACCTAAAAGTTTCACTAGCAGAGGTTTATTTTGATGCTCAAATATCTTCAAATTGATCTTCTCGACATCAAGATACATGGACATGAGAAATGGATTTCAAGTTTTGAAAATAGTGTATTTGGTGACGTATTATTGGACGGTCAGTTTTCAAGATTTTCAAGTTTTCATAGATCTGTCGATCTACACTGTCTTTTAAGCTTTAAATTTTATAAATAAATATGAAAATATATTTTAAGGCTATCACAAAGATTTTCAATATTAAAACCACAATTTTCGAGCCTAGGCTCTATACAAACCTTACCTACTTTATTTTGTAGGGAAATTATCACAAATATACCTTAATTTAAGGTTAATTGAAAAAAAACCCAAACTTTTGTTTATCTCTCTACACCTTTTTTTTTTCATTTTCATTTTTTTTTACCAAAATGACCTTCACAATAGTCACATTACCGTAATAGTTAGTGCACGTTATACCTTACTTTAAGTACGGTAATTCTTAGAAAAAATTATACGGTACTGAGGGCATTTTATACGGTACTTTAAGTAAAGTAATTTTACACTAACCCTTATACGGCATTTTAATAAGTGTGAATACTAACCCATGTTATACGGCACTTAAAATGACCCTTTTTTCATGTTTATCCATGTTATACGGCACTTAAAATGACCATTTTTTCATGTTTATCTCTATCGTCTCTAATTTTTTTTATGTATATCTATTTTTTCTCTTTCTAATTCTTTTTAATATTGAACTCATCTTTCACTCTCTAATTCTTTTTATCCCTTCTTTCTCTCTCTCTACAATCTCATTATCTTTTCCTTAGAGCGAGTAATCAATGTTTCGGCTATGCAAAAAACTGACATGATCTAAGGAAATGATGATGAGATTGTAAAAAGGACATGTTGTAAGCCATTTTTTCATATTTATCTCTTTCATCTCTAATTCTTTCTATGTATATCTATTTTTTCTCTCGCTAATTCCTTTTAGTATTTATCTCTTTTTCTCTCTCTAATTATTTTTTATCTCTTCTTTCTCTCTTTACAATCTCATCATCTTTTCTTTAGAGAGAGTAAATTCTTTTTTTGTATATCTATTATTTATCTCTCTAATTCTTTTTAATATTTTTATCTATTTTTTCTCTCTCTAATTCGTTTTATCTCTTTTTTCTCTCTCTACAATCTCATCATCGTTTCCTTAGAGAGAGTAATCAAACACAGTTTTGGCTATGCAAAACAGAGGACATGATCTAAGGAAATGAGGATGAGATTGTAGAAAGGGAAAAAAGAGATGAAAAAAAAGATTAGAGAGAGAAAGAAGAGATAAATATTAAAAATAGTTATAAAACAAGAAGCTATAAATAAAGATAAAAGAGATAAATATAAACATGATGATAAAAGGATTAACGACATTTTAAATGCTGGGTTAGTTTTTACGTACTTAAAATGCCGTATAATGGGTTTTAGTTTTTACGGTACTTAAAGTTTTGTAATTAGCTTCACGGTATGGCCAAAATCTTACGGTACTTTAAGTACCGTAATATTATTTGAAGTTACTACGGTATTTTAATTATTGTATAAAATGATATGTATTATAGTAGTTTTACTATCGTGAAGGTCATTTTGGTCTAAAAAAAATAAAAATTAAAAAATAAAAGTGTAGACATGATAATCAAAAGTTTAAAATTTTTTCCCAATTAACCTTAAATTAAAGTAAATTTACGATAATTTTTCTATTTTGTAAGATCTACAAAGAGGGCATTTATGTCACAAAAAAATAGGCACGTGAGTTCTTTTTCACGTGTGACACGGCCGTCCAAAAGGTCCTCCAAGTTTCCCGCCAAAAACGCCGGTGAACCCTCCACTTGGGTTGTCCATGTCAGCCCTAAAATAATTGGGTGTTTGTTGGAGTGATTAATAAATGCCCACCCGGCCGCACACGCTTTTTCTCCCTAAAACGACACCAAGGCGAGTACCACGCGGGGGAGGAGACTTTCATGCCATCACCCTCTACAAAACTTTCTCTCTCTCAAAACTCAATAATATAAAGACTAAAATTAGAAAAAACCATCTAACTTTCATGTGGGTGCGAATTCAAATAATCCACATTAAATTTTACATAGATATTTAAAAAAATCAAGTAATATATTTATATATATGATATCTTTTTTAAAAATTTATGTCAAATTTAATGATGATCATTTGAAATCCTACACACATGGATGTAAGAGAGTCTCATAGGATCTTTACTCGAAAGTATATGATAGAAACATTTACTTTTGAGAAGAGGTGGTTACAATTAATCTTGACCATTCGATGTAAAATTGGATGGCTGAATTTATTTCATTAACCAAACTCAAAGTTCAAAATAAATTTTCTCGAACTTCATGGCACACCCAAACTATCACATTTAACATCGAATAGTTACAAGTAATCGTGTCCTCCTTGTACCAAAGGTACTCAGTCTCATTGGATACAATCCTAAAACTAAAACTCTAAAGTCCAAACTAACCCTTTAAGTAGAAGTGGCATTGGGTCCGGTTCTTGCACCTAGACCCGACCGGAACATGAATGGTATTGAGTTTTGGTTTTGAAACCAGACCCAATCTTTTGCGTCCAAAATTTCGATACATACACAGATCCAAGATTGGGTACCTCGGGTCTACCAAGTCCTAAGCCTTGTCAAGTTTATTACCACCCTATGACTAAGTTTCTTTTTTCTTATTTTTTTCCTTTTTCTTTACCATCATATGCCCAACATCTACACAATTGCACAACATTTATGAATACCCACATATATCCACATTCATTGTTTTAAATAACTGAAAATTATTAAGAAATAAACATATGAACACCCATATTATTTGGTCCAGTCTAGCTAAATTAGGACCCAAATAGCATTCAGGTCCAGATTTTGGAACCAGACCCAACATTTCAAGTCCAATTTTAAACTCATACCTGGACCCAAGGTCGGGTCTACCCATTTCGTCCTAGGTCCGGTTGGGTCCATTGCCACCCCTACCTTTTAAGACCCTTTTCCCTCTCAAGTCTATTTAAAGTTAAAGCTTCAAATTTGATCTCTATTATTCTCGCTCTGCCCACTCCCTCTCTCTACAACCATTTCAAGTTTCAATCCTTTTATCGCCTTTATTGTTTTCATGAGTTGGTGTTGTCGCTCTCTTTACTAAAGGCGTCTCTCTTTTATCTCTCATGTCATGTAACTCTTTCCCATTCTCACTCATCTATTATTGTGGCGGAAGTATTTGGTGGAACCAAAAATAAGTAATTAAGCAAGATAGTATATTATGCGCTCCGGAGATGACACTATAAATTTAGGGATTGTATACAGCGAGATCGTTTATTTTTTATAAATAATGTCACAATTATTTATAATTGTTCGATGTAGAATATGATAGCCTGGATGTGTCATAAAGTTCAAAAAAATCTTTTTTGAACTTTACACTTGGTGAATATAATAAATATAGCCACCCATTCCATGGTCAAGATTAATTGTGACCGCTTTGTATCAAAGATAAATTGTCACAATTTATACCTTTCCATATACTTATTCTCTTGGTCCATAACCTAATTGTGTGGATTATTTCGATCTTAAATTCTAGAATCCACCTAAGCAGTGTTAAAAAGTGCGACTCGGGCTGGGGGCTTGGCCCAAGCCTGAGCCAAGTACGCATTTGAGTAAGTCGGCTCGAGTTGGGCCGTGAACGGTGGCAACAAAAAAGTGTTTAAATCTTAAATTTTGGAATCCACCTGAGCAGTGTTAAAAAGTGCGACTCGGGCTGGGGGCTTGGCCCAAGCCCGAACCAAGTATTCAGTTGAGTAAGATGGCCCGAGTTGGGCCGTGAACGGTGGCAACAAAACAATGTTTAAAGAATAAAAAAAATTAAAAAATCCTAAAAAAAGAAAAATATTTAAAGTAAAATTAAACAAAAAATATCCAAACGTGGTTAAAAAAGTAATTAAAAAAGTATTTTGGAAAAACAATTTGTGACTGGGGGTACGTTAGGAATAATCCAAATATAAGGGAAAAATGTAACCGTAAGTATTGGCCAAAACATTTTTCAATCTTTGCCAAAATGATAGAAAACATAAAGGAAAAAGTTTATATAGAGTCGAGGCTGTAAACAATCAAATTAGAGCCCACCTCAAAAATTTCACTAGAAGAGGTTGTTTTGATGTCCAAATATCATCAAATTGATCATCTCGACATCAAGATGCATGGCCATGAAAAAAAAAATGGATTTCAAGATTTGGAAATAGTATATTTTGTAATGTATTTTGGATTGTCAATTTTCAAGAATTTCAAGTTTTCATAGATCTATCGATCTACGCTATTTTTAAAGCTTTAAATTTTATAAATAATTATGAAAATATATTTTAAGGCTATCACAAAGATTTTCAGCATTAAAACTACATTTATCGACACTATTTTGAATGTAGGCTCTAATTTGATTCTTTAGAGCTTAGGTTCTATACGAAACGCACCCAAACATAAAAGGGCATGTTACAAATAAGTGTTTATTTTTTAAATTTTTATAAAAAAAGATATGTTTTTTAAGATCTTCGAGTTGGAAACCCAACCCGGAGATACTCCGACTCACCCGGGTGGTGAACACTACACCTAAGATTCACTCGATGATTTTTTTTTTAAAAAAAATTAATTAGATTTTGGGTTCTTCAACCGGATCTCGCTTTCCAAAGAAATGGACACTCTTACGTTTAATTTTGGACATGATTTTTTTCAAGCACATAAAAGTGAGACTTGAGAAAATAC